CCACATACTGCATCCCTAATTGTGTTCGTAACACAGAGCCTTAACATGCGTTAAATGAGTGAACTACAGACACATGTAGAAGAGTAACTTCATTAAATGCTGTGCAGACTGAACAAGGCAGAACTTTGGAGAGGGAGATAGATCTAGAGAATGACTAGAACTTTCCTTGGGGTAGTTAATCCCCAGAACCTCTCACTCCCTCTTTAGGATTCCTCTTTTCCTCAAAAATCTATCACCATGTTTATTATTTCTATGGAAAAATGGATCCTCAGTGCTAATCAACTATATTAATCATGAAACAGGTGTATTAATCAGGGTTTCAGGGTTCTCCAGAGAAATAGAACCAATGAAATATATATATATATATATATATATATATATATATATATATATATATATATATATCATAGTTTATAGTATTTATTTCATTTATATATATGAAAGAGGATATTGAGAATTGGCTCATGCAATTACAGAGGCTGAGAAGTCCCACAATCTGCCATCTGCAAGGTGGAAACGAAGGAAAGTTGGTAGTGTAATTCAGTGACTACTAAGGCCTGAAGACAGAAGAAGATGGATGTTCCAGTTCAATAAGAGAGAATAAATTCATCCTTCCTCCTTTCTCTGCTTTTTTGTTCTTTTTATTTTTTATTAATTTTTTTATTCAGGCTGCCAACAAATTGGATGATGTTTACCTACATTGATGAGGTTGGATTTTCTTTACTCAGCCTACTGATTCAAATGTCAGTCTCTCAGAAACACCCTCACAGATACATTCACAAATAATGTTCTATCAGTTATTTGGGCATCTCTTAACCTAGTTAAGTCAACACATAAAATTAGCCATCACATCAAAACTTTGGGAACATAAAGAGGTTTTAAGTTGGGAGGATGCCATCTTAGACTATTCTATGGGAGATGAATGTAAAGAAAAATGACTTGTGATAGCATTTTCTAGAGCTAGAGTCAGAGGTTGCCTTAAAAAAAAACAAAACTGTACTTCATTGTTTATGATTTGCTTTACTGTAGCTTCAGAGGGTTTTGGATAAAATTATCAGCACAAAGTGTGTAGGCTGGTAATTCCAATCATCTGTCCTTAGCTCTGGCCATGTACTTGATTGCTGCCAAGTGTTATTTCCTGGCCAGCTCATATCAACATAACATCTGCTATCGTCTAAATATTGTTTCTTCCCCTCATAAGTTCTATGTTGAAACCTCATCACGAGTGTGAAGTTATGAGGAGACCCCCCTGCTTTAGCAGGTGATTATGTGGTGAGAGCTCACCCTCATGAATGTGATTAGTGCCTTTATAAAAGGGTACTTTTCTAACCATGTGAAGACACAGCTAGAAGGCATGAATTATGAGTCAGAATGCAGTCACTGAATCTGTGGGTACCTTGATTTTGGACATCCAGTTTATAGAACTATGAAAAAAATTTTTTTTGTTGTTGTTTATAAGCTGCAAGGCATTTTGTATAGCAGCCTCCAAGATTATACCTGCAAGTAATTGAAATGGACAGTAATTAATGCATGTAGTTTTTGACCTGTTCAACTTTAATTCCAAATAAGATATCTAAAATGGAACATTTTGTTAAATGTTGTAACATTTCTCATTCCACATACTCTTTTTACAAAAGAGCATACTCCTTACTTTGAGAGTTGTGGTCTACATCCCTCTCCCTTAAACACAGTGATTTTGGGACTGCTTTAATAGAGTGCTGGGTTTCTGTTCTCGCAACTAAAAGGCTTAGGAGTCACTCCAGTTAAACTGGGCTAACTGGGCTGCGCAAAATAACCACACAAGAGACACAAATACCTTTTTCTTTGGGGTCGCTGAGACGGCTCCTCTGACCTTAAGGGTCCACAGCAAGAGAGAAAGCGAGAGCACTGACTCCTTTTATTCAGAAGAAGCTATTCAAATGAGGCAAGGGGTCAGGTTTCAGGGGGCTGAGTCTATCTTCATGATGTCCACTGTCAGCAGGTTGACTGACATCTGGGTAGGCCACACCCAAGGGCACAATAAGAGAAGGGGACACACACAAGGCACTTCCATGGAAGATTCTACCCTAAACAGGGCAAAGGGTTATATTACAAAGAACAGGTGAGCATAGCTTCACCCATGGGGCTGTAGCAAGACACACCTAAGAACGAGGCACCCTCCCTTGAACCCAAGAAGGGTGGGGAAAGCTCTGCCACATTTCTGTGACTGAGCGCCTCAGCATCCAGCCGCCCGGGGAGTGTGACTCTTTCATGTGTGAGGTTGATCTCCCACAATGGAGTATAGTGGAAGTGATGCTATGTGAATTCTGAGATTAGGTCATAAAAGTCAATATGGCTTCCACCTTATTCTCTTAGGACTGTCTTTCTTGGGATGCTATATTGTGGAATATAGTTGTCAGGCTGTGGGAAAGCCAAGCAGATACATGGAGAGGCCACATGTAGATATTTTAGCTGACAGCTCCAGCTAAGTTCCCAGATATCAGGCGACATCTACTTCCAGCCTGTGAGTGAACAGCTTTTAGATTTCAGATTCAGCCAGTGATTTTGAATTACCCTAGTTGATAGCATGTGGAGTTGTTCAAGCTGCTAAATTTGTCATGGTTTGTTATGCAGTAGTAAATGACCAGACACATATAAATAATACCATTATAACTATATAAATGATACTACTATAGACAATTAACATGTCTTTAAATCATATCCAACCTCTAACATTACATGTCAATCTTAACTTCTCTTGACTCATGATTGTAATGAGTGAAAAGTTCATAGACCACATAGCTGTAAGAATCATGACACATTGTCCTTGGCTCTATTTGTTCCTGAGGCAAACCTTCCTCACATCTGAGAATCATGGTGAGCTCAGTTCATTAGGTTGTTGATACCACTAACTCTATATCCTAACACCAAAATAGGGACTGTAAAGAATTTAGAGGTGTCTTTTCAAAATGAAAATATAGTTTTTTGCTTTCTTCATTTTTTTGTTTTCCCATACCTATATTCCAATTGTTTTGAGTAGGTGCCAGAGGGTGAAGGTAGGTGTTTTTAGACTATTACCAAACAACTCTATTTGCACACAGTCTTCTCCAGCCTTTCCTTAAGGAGTGTGCTGAATGTTGATGAACTACTATTATAATTTGTGCTTTATGATTACAGTATAAGGGGTTTCATTTGAAAAACATGTTTAGCCTCACAGAACTAATTTTAACTACTGGAAACAGCAATTTTTTGGTGGAGTATAATTAATGTAATTATTAATTTCCCTCTTCTTTTTGGTCTCTGTAAAGTTTAATGTAACTGTTTACATGAAGAATTACCATGTGCAGGTATTGTGAAAATCCAAAGATGTATCTAACATAGATTTCTGCCCTCTAAAGATCAATAAATAAGAAGGGTGACCAGTGAGAGTAAAATAGTCTAACTATAGCAGGATCATCCTTGGGGCAACCAAAAAATAACTAATTTAAATCACTGCTTAAGGGTTATTGTTCATGGAGCTGATCTTGTCATTCACTATGTCAAAGCCTTCTACCATGTACTTCATGCTGTACAAAAGAAACCAGTTGCCATGAAGTCAAACTATGCAAAATCTTTCTTTTCTTGTCACCTTTCTCCTTTTCTTTCTTCTAGATCCATTCTCCTATTTGGTTTCTCTTTTACATTCTTAATTCATTTGTTTATCCCAATTTCCCAGCCTTAGCATCAGCCCACAGGAAGGTGCTTCCTCCCAACTCTTCATTGCCAGAATCCACTACGCTTGGATTATACTGTGTTATGTTTTAGAAAAGAGATCCAATAAAAGAATCTAGGAAACCACGCACTGGGTTCCTATGTTCCATATTTCTTAAATACTTCAGCTACACTTAAGGACTGACAGAGAAGCCAGGAGACTGGGCTCCCTGCAAAGGTGGCAGAGACGTGCAGGCAGCCCAAGCTGACAAGCTCCAGGATAGTAACGGTAGCAATAAATGAAGAGAGGTCGGGGAGGAGTAGGGAGCGTGTCCCAGCCGCCAGACACCAAATCCCGCGGCTCCTACACTTCCCGCAAGGAAGTCACGCTCCGCGGGGCCAAGATGGCGACACCTCCCTCGGCAGCGTGAGGGGCGGAGCAGAGCGTCACGTGACTGTCCCCGCCGGCCGCGCGCCCGGGGTTACCCCAGGCACGCGCCGGTAGCCGGGCGGCCGAGGGGGCGGTGCCACTGCCCCTCAAGGGGCGTCCATCCGCTTTCCTTCGGTGTCGCTAAGCTCTGTCCCAGCGGCGTCGGGCCCGAGTGGGGCCGGGAAAGGGGGTGTCCGGCCGTGCAGAGGCAAAGAGGGATTACGGAACGGGGTCCCTAGGCGGGAGGTCTGAGACCCCAGCAAGGGTCTGGATCGGAGGAGACTGCCGGGAACATCCTGGCAGCCAGCCAGCCAGCCGCGCAGGGTCAGGCTGTTTAGGAGACTCAGGGCATTCCGAATAGGCCTGGGCGCCCACCGGGTGTTGGGGTTCTGAGCCGACGGGGTCAGCTCTGACCACACGACTTGGCCATTTCGTGGGTTTCACATCGTCATCCAGCCTCGAAGCCAGCAGGATTGAAAAATTGCTTTAGCCAAATGTTCTTTTCCCTCTGAGGAGGGAGGCAGAGCCCGTCAGTCCAAGGAGACTAGAGTGGGATACCCTGGCTCTCAGAGGGTGGAGGGGGCAGAGGTTGAAGGGGGCGGCAGGATTGGAGAGCACCCTTCTTGAGCATCAAATGCCCCCTTCTCTGTTTTCATCTCTGCTGAGTGGGCTTGGGCGCGCTGATCCCCCTGGAGGAGGGACAGACGACGTTTGGCGGGCTCTGACCCTGCAGCCTTCATGTGGCTGCTGACAGGGACCCAGGAGGGAACAAACAAGGGGCGCGGCCTCGCCTCTCTCCCACCCCGCCTCCCTGGTGGCGGGGTTGACTATGTGGAGACGTGAGGGGACCCGCCGGCTGCCCCGGCCCTCCAGGACTCCGTCAGACACCCACACTGGGCTCCGAGGCAGGCTGGCGGCGAGCGGAACCGGAGCCCCAGCCTCGCCATGGGGCATAACGCGAGCTGGATCTCCCGGAACGCCAGCGAGCCGCGCAACACGTCGGGCGCCGAGGCGGCGAGCGCGAACCGCAGCGCGCTCGGGGAGTTCGGTGAGGCTCAGCTGTACCGCCAGTTCACCACCACTGTGCAGATCGTCATCTTCATAGGCTCGCTGCTCGGTAAGCCACCTGCGGGGCCGCCTCCGGCAGGGCTTCCCCGAGGGCGCAGGCTCTGGGAGCTCCGATCCGCCGTAACCAGAGCCGCGTGGGTTGCAAGTGCCTGGTCAAGTGCGATAGTTGAAGGAGGTCTAAGAATCCTGTAGTTACTGCAGTGAAGTTAAGCAGGAGTGGTCGACCCCAACCCTTAAGCTGGAAGCAGAACAGTTCCGATAGGTCTTTCTCTTGGCTGAGGTTGGTGCCTGGTCTGGGCAGAGGTCATCCTCCTTGCGGAATGCTTCGGGGTGGGCAAAGGTCTGCGCACATCATACTTTACCTCCTGGGTGCCAGGGAGCAGCGGTGGCTCCAACACTTGTTTACAAATAAGAACTAAGATTCTGTGGGATTTTGTTGCTGATGAAGGAATGTTACTCTCTTTTAAAAATGTATTTCACGCTACTACTATTCCCTATATAAAATATTATTTTTGCATATTTTATGGCTTGCCTCTTCAGAGCACCGACCTTCTGGTAAGCAACCCTGTGAAGTTAAACTTTATGTTGCCTTCAGCTATTTTGAAAATTCTCAAGTAAAACAAAACCCACCTTATTTCTCTACTTATATTTTGTTCGAGGTACAAAACAAAGATAACCCTAACCCTAACCCTAACCAAACCAAAACAAAAAACCCCAAACCAACTGCAACAGATTTCTTTCCTTGTTCAGGGAAGAAAAGATCAACTGAAGTGAGGGGCTAGTAAAAACTTATGTCCACTAGTAAGAATTACCTGTACTTCTCACTAGTCTTAAATGAGACTACTCTTTAGAGCTACTCTTTAAATGATGAATAATATAATTAATATTCATTTCAGTTGAGGTTTGCCCAACAATGCACACTATTTGTAAATATGTGTAAATTCTCTGATGTGGCATTTGGAAGGGTGAGAAGAGATTGTTTATGATTATATCTGATGTGTGCAAGAGTAGTGTTAAAGTTTCAAAGTAAGGATAGGTTTCTTTTCCCAGAACTTGTGGATTTTCACGGAAACTAAGATAACTGACATAAAAAAGACCATATTTGGAAGAATTTTAAGTGTTTGGTATTTCCCTTCATATTTTTTCTAGTTGTCATCATTCCATTACAGTCCATTCTTTTGTAATATTGGTTTTCCCCTTTTTTCATGAGTGCATTGTTAGACATTTCTGTGACTATATGTAGATCGATATGTGTGTTTTAAGATGTTTTTATGAGTGATGTTCACATTAACAAAAACCTGTGTTCCAAAGACTTTATCAAACACTTACTAATCCTCTAATAGATACTAGGCATGATACATGGAGTTAAATTTCAATATTGTCACACTTACAGTGTAGATTACTGGGGAGGCTGGAGAAAGGGCTGTAAATTTTATTTTTGCAGGTTTTCTCTGCAGAAATAAAATGTATGGCCGTGTGTGTGTGTGTGTGTGTTAATTTTCCTCATTGGTAACGTAGAAAAAAGATGGTGTTGGGAGACATTTTTTAATGATTCAACTAAAAAAAATTTGAGTACTATTGAAATAGAAGACAGAGCATGTGTGTAAAAGACAGCAAATAATGGACATTTAATAAGTTACTTCTGCTTCCCATGTCCTTTCCATTTTTTAGCTTGCATTGGATTCAGGAATTCTTAGGTAAATATGATCTTATTTCAGCTCTTTTCCACATAGCACTTCTGAGTGACATGCAAAAACTTCTTTCATGGATCTCTTAAAAGAGGAGACTTAATTTTCTCTTGATATGCCTCCCTTGACCTAGGAAGACATATTTTCCCCCTTTCACATTACTTGGGTCCGCCTAAGAAGAATTCCATTTGCTCCTTTCTATTTTCAGAAAGTATAAATATAGATAGTATTTTTGATTTTCTTGAAAGCTTAACTGAATTGTAATATTTCCCTGTGTATTTGTTATTTACTGGTATTTTTGATTCATTGTTCTCTAAAGAGCTGATCCCTTCAAATATATCTGTGTACTTTCATATTCTCCTGGTAATGCCGTTTGAGGCTTAGAGCTTACTTCCTAAGCCATGTGCAGTCAGCTGCAGGGCAAGTAAACTTGGGAAGCTTAGTTTGAAAGCCCCGAAATAGAGAAGAATAATAGATTAGGAATGGAGAAAGGTAAAACTGTGGGAGGATGGAATAATATCTAGAATAAATAACTGATTTAGTCTACCTATTTCTTCTGTCCCCAAACATAAGCCAATGAGTCTCTCCTGAATTTTTTCTGTTAAACAAATTCAAATATACTTCCCATATTCTCTAAATAGATTTCTTTTTATTAGGCTTTTTATAAGCCCATTATTATGTGAAAATAATTCTTTTGTACTATTTATGTCTTGCAGCTCTTTTTGGAAACTGTTTTAGTGCCCTGTAATAGGAAAAATCCCTAACAAATTGGAATAACTGTAATATTCCAACCATTGGGAACATTATTTGCTGTGTTGAAAATGAACTCAAGAGTTATATATGTTATTATTCAAATAATATACCTTTGGGGGGTTTGTGTAAACTAATGTTCCTCAGACTTCTTTATGAAAAGTTATGGGATATCTTCAGATATGAAGAGGATCTTGAAAGAGAGTTAATTTAGATTCTCTTTTGGCAAATAGATGGCACACACTATTTTTAGTCATCAACAGTGTGAAATCAAAAACTCAACAAGATTTGGAGTCACCATTTCTATTAAATACTATGGATTGAACTCCATAGGGTTGACCTTTTTTTCCCCTCACTCTACATGGATTCTCAGTTCAAGTGAGAGTGGGCTCCTTTTTGGTACTTTGACTTTAAAAAAGTCAGCAGTTACGACCTAGCTTATTACCTCTAACCTACTCCTTCACAGATTACTTGTCATCTGTGCCTGTCTCATTGTAGGCATAGGATATATTTTTAAATAAATGAATTTTCTGTTAATTAAAGAAAATTATCCCTGTGGACAACAGCCAGCATTTCTGTATACTGCACCAAAATTTATTTTAAAATAGAGAAATCAGCTTTCCCTCCTCCTGCCAAACATCATATATGTGGTTCTTGTTTTTAAGCTGTATCCACTTTCCCTACTATTGTAGACTAAATATTTGCAAACCCCAGATTCATATGTTAAAGCTCTAAACCCAGTGCAACAGATGGTATTACGAGGTGAGGCCAGGAGTGGGATTGTGGCTCAGTGGTGGAGTTCTTGCCTCAAAAATGTGAGGCACTGGGTTCGATCCCAGCACCACATAAAAACAAAGGCATTGAGTCCATACACAACTAAAAAAATATTTAAAAAAGAAAGGTGAGGCCTTTGGTAGTTAATCAAGTTTAGATAAAGTCATGAGGGTGGTGTCCTCATGATGGAACTGGTTGCAGAGAGCTTGCTTGTTTATCTTCCTAACCTGAGAGGACATAGCAAGAAGACTGCTGCCTATAAGTGATGAAGAGGGTCCTCTCCACAACTTGTTCCTGCTGGTATCTGATCTGGTACTTCGTAGCTTCCAGAACTGTTAGAAATAAATGTTGTTTAAGCCATTTCTATTATGATATTTTGTCATAGCATCCTGAGCACACTAATACACTTAGAGGTATATAGTGAGCCAGCATGAAATAAATGATTCCAAGTAATGTCTAATTTATTTGGGGCTTGATAACATGTGGTAGTTATTAAAGTATTCATTTCAGAGGGAAGATGGGGGTGCTGGGGATATAACTCAATGGTAGAGCACTTTTTTAGCATGTGAGAGCCCTTGGGTTTAGTCCCCAGCACAGTTAAAAAGTAAACAAACAAACAAAAGGAAAGATAGGGGACTGAATTGCTGAATCTGTTCAATAGATGATATGGACCATTTTTAAATGAAGAATAAATTTTATTAATAACATTTTATTGATATTAATTTTATTAATAACAATAATAACATTTTTCCTGAAATTTTACTCAGAGCTTGTGATACAGAATTTAATTTTGTAAGAGTAATGTTTTTATCTTGGTGTTGTTTATTTTTTATTTGTTCTTTTTAGATACACATGACAGGAGAGTGTATTTTGAATTGTTATACATACATTATTATACATGTATAACTTATTCTAATTAGGACCCCATTCCTATGGTTGAACATGATGTTCAATTACACTGGTTATGTATTCATATATGTACATAGGAAAGTTATGTCTGATTCATTCTACTGTCTTTCCTATTCCTAATCCCCTCTTCCCTTCATTCCCTTTTGTCTAATACAACAAATTCTATTCTTCCTCTCTCCCGGGCTTATTGTGTGTCAGCATGTCAGCATCCACATATCCGAGAGAACATTTGGCCTTTAGTTTTGGGGAATTGGCTTATTTCATTTAGCATGATAGTCTCCAGTTCCATCCATTTACCAGCAAGTGCCATAATTTCATCCTTTTTTTATGGCTGAGTAAATAAACACCATTTTTGCTTATGTTTACTCATAGTCTTCCAGCAAATCATGAGGCACCAGCAATGATCATGATACTTGATTGATAGAGAAATGTACCTTTGATACTAATTGAAATTAACCACATACTGGCTGAATAATTGTTGGAATTCCTCACTTAAATGCTTAATAGAAAATGTGTTAATATTAGTTTGTACTTGTAATTCATAATTACAAAGAATGATTTTTTAGTTAGCCATAATTATAGCCAATAGTATTGCAATACCAAAGCCTTACTTCTACCTGCTATTTCTTTTGGCATACCTACAAACCTACTAGACAATATCAAGAATAAAGGATCCTAAATTAAGGAGTCAGGAAATAGTAGGGTGATAGTCTGGGTAGGTGAACCTAATATTATTTCCTCACTTTGTTTTTTATTTCCATATGATGGATGTATTCCCAACCCATTCTTATAAAATAGGCAGAAAAAATCAATCTGACCTCCATCTGAATGAAATTCTGGTTGCTAACCATATGCTTCTCCTTTCTTGGCCTTTGTATGCATATCTTTTAACTTTCCAATTCTTGGAATTTAAATTTTTTAAAAACTT